AGAAAATATGTATATATATATATACACACATACATACACAGATTGTGTGAACCTAGACTTGCTCTCGTCTCGCATATCGCCAACAGATGCACTCAGAGAAGCCTTGTGTTAACAGATGCATTCAGGGAAGACTTGTGTTGGCAAGGCACGTGAGACAGGCATCTGTCCAATCCGTGAGGACTCGGTGCAATGCTGGAACGATATGCCATGGAATCTACTCTACAGTGACTTGTCCACTTCCGAAGGAGCTCTACTCCCAGTGCTTTGACGAACTGATCCGCCAGGCTTCTTTTGCACATTCTTGAGCGTTCCTATTCTGTTGAGGCTTGATGTGCGAGGTCACAATCATTTGTGCAGAGCGCGGTCTGCTCCTGCTCCGAGTACGCGATGAAATCAGGCGCGCAAATTTGGCTTGCGAATCAGGAATGCAGCATCGAGCTCCAGAGACTGTGCAGCCTTCGGCAAGGATGACGATATGTGCGTATCAAAGCCTTTATGAGTCCTCCATCGCCTTTGGCATGCGGAAGGCTATTTCGCCGGAATTTCGACACACTTGCTTGTTCCTTGCCCCTACCCTCTCCAGGCTTTGCAGGCGGAGCAGCGCAGAAATCAGCACAACAAGAAAATGAAGGACAGCCCTAAGCAATACATGATGCCACGACTTCGGAGCATGACTTGTGCAGTCTCAGTTTCGCTTTTGTTGGGGTGGCTTTGCCTGTCGTCGCAATCTTTGATTAGTCATCTATCAGATCGTACCGCGCTTTTTTTTTTGCCCTGCTCGTTCTTGGCATCGTTGTTTTCCGCATGCAGCAGTGTGTTTGCCACTTCTGCTCTGTCAGGACCTCCAGGTTGCAAACAAGAAGCTCCGGGATGAGGTAGAGGCAGGATGGACTCCAAGGCGAACCTGTATGTCGGGTAAACGAGTCTGGTAGGAGCTGGAGAACAAGATCACCCAGATAGAGAAGCATGAAGCAGAGCGACGAGAACAAGAAGAGCGCAAACACAAAGAGGAGGCCTCTCCGGGTTTGCTACTTTTCAGCCCAGCCCATACCCGATCCATCGTGAGCTGTCAGGTTGAAAGCTTGAAGAAGCTCAATGCACAGCGAAAGGACTGTGTGATTGTTTACAAGAGCCGAAAGACAAAAGCTCCAAGTGACATGACCGGCAGTTCTGAGCAGGAGCAGCTAGAGGCAATGCTTCAAGCTCCCAAGAAGTGAGCCTTCGCATCTGAGCAGGCAGGGAACCCAGTCTGGTGGAGAGCATAGGCCTAGGCATTTGCAACTGCCAGGCAATGAGCAGGCCTCGCGTAAAACTTGTTTCACAACTCATGAAATGGCTGTGCCAGCTAGTAACGGGTGATAAGTGCAGTTGATGCTACAGCAGCAGAGTGTGCTTTCACAGCAGAAAGCTGAATGTCTTCTTCGCAAGTGGCCACAGCAATGTGTCACCACCACACCTCTGCCAATGGAGCGCAACCGTGCATGCTCGTTCTGAACTGCTGCGGCTTCATGCAAGAGTGTTTGAAACATGCGCTGCCTGCTGCCGCCATGTTCCTGAGCAAACATGCCGTTATTTTTTTTTGCCGGGTTACCGTTGCTTGCAGGGAGCTTGGCCCGAGAGACCTCGGGGACCAGAGAGATGACTAGGGCGAGGGCCTGGGATGACCTCCAAACTGTGCAGCGAATACAGCTGGCGAGGCTACTTGACTTCACAGGGAATCGTTTCAGTGGATGACGAGCTGCTCCTGGACGTTTTTCAGTCTTCCCTGCATGGAGCCCCACTGCCAGCACCGTGGAGCATGTGGCACGACAAGCAGAGCAGTTCCTTGTTCTTCACGAACACTTCCACTGGAGAGACCTCCTGGACCCATCCCTTGAATTCATTACTTTTTGACTTGGCCTGTGTGGCTCAGAGATTCTTGGCGTTGCCTTTTGCCAGCAGGGCCGAGCACCTGGCGGCGTTGAACCGAACATGGGAAGCCGAGGCACGTGCAGAAATCTTGAGGTGGAGGTCTGCCTACGACGATGGCGCCGAGTACTTCTACAACGTGGAGACAAAGGCGGCTATGTGGGAACGGCCGGTCGATGCACTGCTCCCGGCCTTCTACCTCAAAAAGCAGTACCTGCGAAATCTGAGTGCGCATTGTAGCAACGCTCCGTCTCACAAGGAGAGGAGTGAAGTCGCAGACGGAGACCGGCATGGTCAGGAAGGATGCGGCGGATACGGTTTACGACCAAGTGTTCCCCTGACCGCGCAGAGCCACATTTCCGTGAGCTGGGAGAGCTATCTAAGCAAGGAGATCCTAAAGCTCCCTGACGATGAGGAGCTTCTCCAAGTGTTTCAGGCCGTCCTCACAGGAGCTCCCCTGCCAGCACCATGGAGTATGTGGTGCGACAAGGGGGCTAAAGCTCTTTTCTTTACCAATGCTGCAACTCGCGAGACATCATGGACCCATCCCCTGCACGATGTGTTCGTTTCTCTAGCAGAAGTTGGACGTCGATTCTTCACTCTGCCGTTTGCCACCCGGGCCGAACATCTTGTAGCATTGAACAAAACATGGGACACCGAAGCACGGGCAGAGATCCTCAAATGGCAGGCTGCATATGATGAGCAGGACAGAGAGTATTTCTTCAACGTGGAAACGATGGCAGTGATGTGGGAGAGACCAGCAGAAGCAGTGCTCCCCGCATTCTACTTAAAGAAGCAATTTCTCAAGAGACTGAGTCTCTGCAAACCTGCGCCTGTTGAGCGCAGGGGAAGCACAAGCAGAGAGCGGGATCGAGACAGTCAGTCTACCATGGCTTCCACCTCGAACTCTTCAATCTCTTCGGTTTCAAGGATGAGAAAGAGCAGGAGAAGCTCTCGAAAAGTATCGAACCATGCACTGTTCGACGACAATTGGGAGTACTACTTGACCACGCAAGGCATCGTGGACATCCCAGGGGAGGAGATGTTGTTGCTGACTTTTCAAAGTGTCTTGAAAATTGCACCATTGCCCGCCCCGTGGAGAATATGGAATGACAGGGCCAACAGCCGCTTCTTCTTTGTGCAGAAGTCGACGGGAATCACCTCATGGCAGCATCCCCTCAACTCTGTCTTATTGGAGCTGGCAGCCGTTGCAAGGCACTACCTGGGTTTGCATGAGCAATCTAGGGCCGATCACCTGGCCTTCTTGGGAAGTACATGGGACGGTCAGGCAGAATCTGAGATCTCCAAATGGAAATCCGCACTAGATGAGGATGACATGGAGTACTTCTTCAATGTGGAGACCAGCGAGACCATGTGGGAGCGTCCTGAGGATGTTGTCCTCCCAGAGCTCTTCCTGAAGCGGCAGTTTCTTTCCAAGTTATCCGTAGCAGCTGAGCCAAGCTCGGAACAGGGAGCACCGCAGAAACCCCAGCCACCCCAGCCACCACAGCCACCGGAGCCAGACGAGCAATCACAATCACCTCAGCCACCGCAGCCACCAGAACCACCACAAACACCGCAACCACCAGAACCGCCAGAGACGGTGACCAAGCCAAACGTTGACCTTCCCTTGATCCAGCCCATGCCTAAGGCTCCCGTGAAAGTGTTGAAGGTGCAGCCAGTTGGGCCAAAACCTGCACCTCCTCCAACGCCGATGCCCAAGGCTCCAGTGGAGCTTCGGGTCCAAGCAAAGCCACCACTTCCGCCCGGAGCAAGCCATTCACCTACCAGGGTCAAAATAAAGTCGATCTCGCCCAAACCAGCGCGGATGGGCGAAGCCGTGAAAGTCTCCGTCGTGCGCAAGACTGCTCGAGCTCTGTCGAGGGACGAGGCACCAAAGGCCGGTGAGAGGGCGCCAGGGCCAGGGTTCTCCCGTCGGACCTCTTCTTTGGACCTCTTTGGACCTCTTTGCACCTTTAGGCCTTTAGGCCTTTAGGCTCCAACTTCGGTCTTCCACTTCAGAGCACCAGAGTCCACCTGATGCTTCAGGTACCGGTAAGGAGCCTGTCGTTTCCAACGAACCAACCCCCGGCAGACGAAGATTTTACCACAAGACGAGTTGAAACTAGGTGTTTGGGAATCGTTTGCATGCTGGTCCTCTGCCGCCACCTTACTTCCCTGATAGCTTCTGCCTGCCAGGTCACGGTGATCTCTCGCGACGCTGCCGTACACAAAGGACCTACTGTGACGGTGAGGACAATGAAGGAACAAGCCTCCCCTGAACATGATGGCAAGCAGCTGCAAGTTGCCAAAGCCGCTGCGTCCGCAGCTTTTTCTGCCACAGCGGGGACAACTATTGAGAGGCTTCAGGCTGCAGCCCAGGCAGCATATGAAGCAACTTCGACTGCAGCACCGGACGAACATGCCTCTAACGTGCAGCAGGCACTGTACGAAGTCGTGCAACGGATGCAAGTGCCTGCACCCGGTGGTGAGGCTTGCAACACCTTGGCGGAGAACGCTTATTTCTTCGCAAGAAGCGTGCGCGAAGCTCTTGAAGGTTCTAGCGTGAAGCTGCCGAGCCCAGATGGATCTGCTGCTGCACTGGCAGCTGCAGCTGCACGCCGCTCCGGCTTGAGTGCCTCATGGCAAGTGGATGCTGCAATCGCAGCAGCATCGGGTCAAAGGTTCAGCGGGTCTTCATCGCCGTCGTTTGCAGCATCATCTCATTTGTTTGATGTCATCAAGCAGGTTGCATCCGAGTCTGCTGCTGAGACAGAGACGAGGGAGGCGTGGTTGCAGAAGGCGGCTGAGAAGATGACTCCGCTGCAGCAGAAAGACGTGTCGAACGTCCGCTCATCAAAAGGCCAAGAACTCGCAGCAACACGTGACACTTGGATAATGAGCTCACCTGAGCAGGTGGACAGCTCTCCGTCAGGAACAGAGACAGCATCTGTTCTTGGGCGGACTGGACGTCTTTCGCAGACAGGATCTTCCAAATTCGCAGAGTTTTGCAACTTCCGCGATGTTCGGCGTGCAATGGCAGAAGCAGAGAACTGCTTGGCCGCTTTTGAGGAGGAGAGAAAGAATCAGCGCAAAGCGCTCAGGAGACGTTCGCGAAACAAGCTTCCCACTGACATCCTGGATGCAATGGGTGAAGCTCAGCGGATTCTCTCTGCCTTCGATGAGGAGCGCCGGTTGCAGCTGCAGCAGCTTCGGGTGGAAAGAGCAAAATCTCGTGCCAATTTACCTTAAGGAGCAACCACCACATGTGTGGTTGCCTGTCGACGCAGACACCCGCTCAAAGGAGTCATTGGGACGACTTGCGCTGCTCCTTGGGTCCTTCCTTGATTTTAAAGTAGGCTTTAAACGTTGCCTGACCGACGTGGTCCATCTTGAAGTTCAATAGGTCCGTCATGCTGAAGACTAGTGTGACTTTTCCCGGGCTGTCAGAAATGCCAGTGCAGCTCAGAGACGTTTCACCTTAGATTAGGAATGGAAAGCACGATCGCAAGCTGCTTGTCAACACAACAGCTTGAAGCGATGCAAAACTGAGAGTAGAAATCCGGGACCCCTCTGTAGGCTCCCTTCTTGGCCTGCACGTGACTTTTGTATGAACGTCGTCATTTCTGGAGCCGCTTGATCCTTCAACTAAGCCCAATTCGCAACTGTCGTTGTGTTGCTGTTACCGTCGTTGAACAAGTGCTTCAAGAAAAAGTGTGGGGTGTAGCCAGTGTGAGATGTTGGCTGTTGCCCCAAGTTCGTGAAGCTCTTGCAGCCCTCGGTCATAGGTTTGGCACGGTTTGTCTGCAGACAACCATCTTCCTATCATGCACGCTTCAGATGATGCCGCAGCCGGGCATCACTGCCGTAAGGCGCTGGGCGACAGCGCAGCAGATGAGCTGCTGGGAAGGTTGATGAGGAATCACATGGAGGATGAGTACCGCAGGTATCTGCACAAGTCCAAGTGCGAAAGCAGCAAGGACACGGATGGTTTTATTCAAGACTCGATTGACCCAGACCAGGGGGAGTCGCCTGACGGTCGCAGTGCCGAGGCGGGTCAACCGGAGGCGGAAGCCGCGGAAGACCCAAGCCAGATCGCGACGGATGTCCCTGAGCGCGATGTTGAAGACATAGCCGAGGATGGCAAAGAAGCGGAAGAAGATTCCGAGACCGCCAAGGAGGCAGAGGCCGCCAAGGAGGCCGAAGGTGTGAGAAAGGCGAAACTGGAGGCGATCGTGTCGGGCCGCTTGGAAGTGCGAGAGGAGGCAAGCAGGGAGAGATGGAAGATCGAGGAAGAGGAGGACTCAGGGGACGAAGCACTGGGTGTCCTTTCCAGCTTAGGGCGATCCATGAGCACCTGGGCAAGTGTGGCCATGATTGGTTTCTCCATCACCATGAGTAGTGACCCCACCGTGGCAGGTCGACAAATCGCTAACCTTTGCCGCAGAAAAGGCGGAATTTATGTCAAAGCAGCTCAGACAGCGTCTTCCATGGATTATGCATTCTCAAAAGAGGTTCTGGAGGAGTTCCAGTCTCTGCAGGACTCCGCAGATGCCCAGACGTGGGGCGAGATCTCCGAGCGCGTCGAAAAGCACACCCCCGGCGGAATCGACATGGTCTACGATTCCTTTTCCGAGGATCCTATTAATGCTGCATCCATCGCACAGGTCCATGTGGCACAGAGGAAAACTGGAGACAAAGTGGCTGTGAAGCACCTCGGAGTATTCAAGATCTTGCAGGAGGGTGTCAGGAGTGAGGAAGAAGGCATCGAACTGGGGAGTTTGGAATCACGAGTGCCGAAGAACCCTTGAAAGCTATCTTCCAAGTCTGCAGCCCCGCACCTCCAACTCCCAACTCTCCCAAGCTGTAAAGCTCCAGCTGGAAACTCAGTCTACAAACCGAGGCCGAGTTCGGAGCAGCTTGCATGTTTGCGTCAGCTTCAGACCACTTTCCACAGAATCGAAGGTCTAAAACGTTTGGAATGTGTGAGAGTTTCACGCTTTGCACTGTCGAAGTTTTGGAGTCAAGAGTCTGTTATGAGTTCGAGAACAGTTCGGTCGATTTGAGCACTATCAAGGTGTTGGTCACAGTCCCGCATCGTGGACCTCTCCGAAACTAGCAAAGTCTAGTCTGATTCAGTCTCATACGAGCATGGTTCTCCTGGATCTCCAACAGCCGAATCGCGCCTTCTCGCTCTGTGGTCAAGCACTCGCTGCACCTTTCTTGCAACTTCGGATCCTGGAAATCGTGAAGCGCTGCCTACTCTGAATCTGTTGAACTGTTATGTAAGAAAATCGTCGCAAACATGTACTTGCAACAACTCTTACCTCTTTCTGGTCTTTTCATAAGGCAGGCGTTATGGTGAAGCTCTGACTCCAAGGATACTTCGCCGCAGCACTGCCCAAACGTTCGACCATGATGTGGGCGACTATCTCGGACTCCTCGGGATGTACGAGTCGACAACAGGCCAGGCGGTCGTGAGCCTTCGAGGCCTTTCTGAGGCTTGTCACGAAGACTCGAAGTCTTCTTGTCAGGCATTCCTGTGAAATGGATGATGGAATGGGCCATGGAAGAGCTCAAGAAGGAGACAATGGGGAAACCTCCTGAGGGCCATGGTCGTTGTTTTTTTTGTTAGTTTTCGGGGGTGCTTGGGGTTGCAGTCTGTCCTGGCGGTGATGAGCAGGAACTAGATTTTCGCATCGAGGCTGATTTGCACGAAAAGTGTCAGAGGATTCCTGGCTGCACACAGTCGGATCATGCCTCTTCTACATATATATAGATATGTATGTCTATACATATATATATATATGTATATGCGGGTTATATATGTATATATACACACACATGCACCCAGGTATAATAACAGCAAAGTATGTGTGTATGTATGCAGGACTCAGAGCATACTGCTGCAAGCTTAGACGAAGTACAGGCTTCAGCCAAGCTTGAGTGCGGAGTCCGACAGCCCCGACGGCCTTGCAGGACTCCGCAAACCCTCAACAAATCCGTTTTGAGCAGACGGCTCTGTTGACCAACCTCGGTCCAGCAAAAGACTGTGGCCGGGCAAAGGCTGTAGAGCTCGCTCTTTCAGACACAGCTGTTTGCGCCAGCCTCCTGTCTGCAAGTTTCTCTGAGCTGGACCCTCAGACTGTTGAAGCACCGACGCCTTCCGTGCACAGCCTTAGTGTCGGCACGCTTTGTGTTTACTCGCTGCCCGTGACCTACGCCGACACCAACGGAGTTGTACCAGGGCAAGGCAATGAAACTCAGAAAGCCCACGCATTGCCTCTTTTGTATGGCATCTCAGGCGTGTGCGACCTGGGTTCCTGTCTCTCTGCCAGTTCTTCGGTGGGACGCGTGCTTGTAGCTCGGCTAGCAACACCCACATTGCCCGAGCCCCCCCCGAACTTTTCCACAGAAGGAGCAGAGGAGGTGCAAGATTCTGAAGCACAGGACGATCCTGAGCAGCCGACTTGGCCGTGTCCGGAGTGTAGAGCTGGCTAAGTGAAAAGTTTCACTCTCCGCCATGAAGATTACCGACATGGAGACTGAGTGTGTGTACAGTCAGCCATCTCCCGCCAACCACAACGCCGGCGACAAGATAACAGAGCTGACCGCAATTCCGGCCACCAACCACAGCAGCAAAGCATGACGGCGTCCACCACGATCACAAATGACAATAGCCACCACGACAGAAAAACACCTCGGCGATGACCACGTCCACCACCACTTACTGACTTGCTGAAGCAGAGCCACCGGGCTGTCTGCAGGGGGTTCGGTTATAACCAAGGTTTGGCCCTGATGCGGAAACAGAACCACCGGGCTTAATAACCGAGATGGATGCGGTAACTAGTTAATATCTTGCCGCTGAAGAAAGAAAGCGGATGAAAGCGGGTTTAATCACCGAGGGGGGGTGCGGTAGTTAAGGTCTGGCCCGGCTGCGGACGCAGAAGCACCGGGCTTATAGTTGCCGAGACGGGTCAATACTCAAGGTTTGGTGCGGTTGCGGAAGCAGGGTACGGTAAGCAAAGTCAGGCTTAGTTGCGGAAGCAGAACTACCGGTAACTACCGGACTTGATTACCGAGTGGGTGCGGTGATTCCTGGACTGCCTGGCCTAAGATTGTCTCGTCCGCGTGACATGAAAATGCTCTGGCCCGCCAGCGCTGCCAGCGCAAATGCGCTTGCAGAATGCCGGGATCAGACTCTTCTCCAAAACCTATGTCGTCTCCAACCGACCGGATTTCTAGCTGCACCCCCTGAATTGCGAGAAAGTTTGAACTTAATCACAGCGCAAGCCTCAAACGAGCAGATTTATGCATCTTGCGCCTGGCCAAGAAGACTACGTTTGTTAGAAGGGATAGTCACCCGCTTTACGGGTAGGCCTTTCAAATTAGGTGAGGGTGGACCTGTTAGATAGGGTGGTCACCAGCGTTAACACCAAAGCACAGCTCGACATGATAGACTGTTTTTCAAAAAACAGACTTCCTTCTCCCCACGAAAACGTCTTGCTTCGTCTGCTGCGTGTTTTCCTGGCAGCTGGAAGGCTATACGGTTTTGACATGCACGCGCAAACCAAGAACAGGATACCAGGTAACAGAGGCAAACATGCCACGGACAATGTCACGCGTGGAAAAAACTGGCAAGACTGGCAAGGACGACGGCAGACAAGCAACCGAACCAGTCCTCTGCAGCAAGCACGGCATTGAACGGAACATGGAAAACTGCTTTCAATATACCTTGGGACTGGGATTGAAAATAGCACGCACCAAGAAGGCGGGCGGTCTGGAGCCACGTCGCAAAGTAACTCTGAGACATCTATTTGGCACGCCTCCTTGAATTCAACGTCCTACTTAATACTCACCCCACAAACTACCAAGCACAAACGAAAATCGAAGAATGCCGGATTCAGGAAGGGCTGCAACGTCATGTTTCTGCGACACTGCGGAGAAAACTGCGACGCGCATCCGTGAGAGGCAACTCCAAAAATTGCATGGGCAACGTGTTTTGGTGGTGCCCGTGGTGCACATGGTGCATCAAAAGCGGCGTTGGCGCAGCAAAGACAAAACCCAGCGACGGCTAAAGTCGCTTACGCCCAACCAGGCGGTATGACCCAAAATGCTCCACAAAGAAGTATCGCATTTAAAGTGTGCGCAATGCCAGCCCATTGAAGTGCTGCAGCTGGCTCACAGTCGTGGCCGTGCAATCGCACACAAAAGTGATAAAGTCCCAGCGCTAGCTTTCCACCAGAATAATACGGCGGGGGAACAGGAACATGGAAACGTCGGTAAAGTTGCGACTGCAAGGGAAGCAAATTAATCAGTACTGAAAGTAATTCTGAGTTTCTTGCACTGGACATTTCAGCTAGTATTGCTATTGCGCTGGCGGTGGCAGTGGTGGTCGTGGTGGTCGTGGTGGTGGTGGTGGTGGTGGTGGTTTTGGTGGTGTTGCTGGGGATGGTGATGCCGCAGAGATGCGAATCCAGGCGTGCCTTTCCTAAGTGCAAGATCTACCATTATGTGATGTCAGCAAAGGCTCGGCTCGCGCGATTTGGGGGCCCCTTCAGGGTGGGCGATGACGACGTTATCGCCAGCAAAGCCAACAAATTGATGGTGCTGTGAATTTTCAAGCTGACTCTGCCTACATAGTTGAATGAGTGCTGTTTCAACCTAGTTTGCGTAGCTCCCTGACACAGTGTATCGTTTGCAAAACACATGCAGACACGCATATATCTGCACACGCACACATAAATAAATAAATAAATATAAATATATATATATATATATATATATATTTTCACATGTCTATAGGTATATGTAATTGATGATACATTTCTATGTTGGTGTCGAAAGGTGCCGGTAAACATACTGAGGTTCATAGGTTCTCAAGACGAGCTTCGTGGACGTCTGAGTGTCCCTGTCCTCCACTCCGAACTTTGTAGCTCGGTCCAGGATTTTGTGCGTGTCATGAGCAACAGCAGTAGCAGCAGCAGGAGTAAGGGTAGGAGTAGGAGTAGGAGTCGGAGTAGGAGTCGGAGTAGGAGGACGAGTCGGAGTTGGAGGAGGAGGAGAAGTAGGAGTAGAAGTAGGAGTAGGAGTAGGAGTCGGGAGGAGTAGTCGTCGTCGTAGTAGTCATAACCTTCTAGTGGTAGTGGTGGGAGTGGTAGCAGATGGAGTTAGTGGTAGTGGTAGTGGTAACAGTGGTAGTAGATGGTACTAGTGGTAGGGGTAGTAAGAGATACTTGCTAGCAGTAGTTGCAGTTGTAGCAGCAGTAGCAGTAGTAGTAGTAGCAGTAGTAGCAGTAGCAGCAGTAGTAGCAATAGTAGCAGTAGCAGCGGTAGCGGTAGGAGTAGCAGCAGCAGCAGCAGCAGCAGCAGCAGCAGCAGCAGCAGCAGCAGCAGGAGCAGCAGGAGGAGGAGGAGGAGGAGGAGGAGGAGGAGGAGTAGTAGTAGTAGTAGTAGTGGCGGTAGCAATGGTAGTAGTGGTAGTAGCAGTGGTAGCAGTGGTAGTACTGGTAGTAGTAGTGGTAGTAGTAGTGGTAGTAGTAGTGGTAGTAGTGGTAGTTAGTAGTGGTTGTAGGTAGTAGTGGTAGTAGTGGTAGTAGTGGTAGTGGTAGTGGTCGAGTCGTAGTAGCAGTCGCGAACAGTCCCCGATGCCTCGTACAGTCGTTGGTGTCACATCATGATTGGTAATTGGAGCCTAGAGAGGCAACGTACTGGGCCGGTCCGCGGACAGTTTACGGTTGCCACAGAGATGTTTATCACTGAGTGCAGCGCCAACTTCGTGGCTCAAGAACGAGACATTCTGCTAAAAGCAATGGTCGCTCAAGGTCTAGAGTCTAGAGCATTCGAGCCATCTTTCTTGCACGGACAAGAGATTGTCCGTTGGAAGAGGTAACAGTGCTGCGACAACGTCGAGAACTACAACTAGGTCGTCAATCCACCACTACCAACAAGGTCTGTGAGGTGAGCATACAAGAACTACATCGAGCCCAAACCCTCGCGCAGGTTATCAGCCGCCACTCATGACATCTTTGGTATCACGCCTTCTGAGAATCCCAAAGCTGAGCGCGGTAGAGTTCTGTACTGCAGGAAATGCTTGGCCTGCGTTCAAAGAGAAGCCGCAGACGTCAGGAAGCTTACTTGTAAGCAGAGACTCCAACGCCTTAAAAGCAACCCTTGGACTCGGATGATGAAGCGCGCCTGGTGGTCCCGACTTAAGGTTCAGCAGCCTAAGCATGCCGAGGAGTTTCTTAGGCTCTCAGGCTGGAGCCAGTCTGAGCTGGAGGATCTGCTGGGCCTCAACAGCCCTACTCCCAGGATGAAGCAATGGGCTCAGTTTAAAAACTCTGGCAATGCTCTCAAGCCTACGGCCAAGTCACGAGGTAAGCGCTCTACCAAGCGGAGGCCTGCCGTCAAGGCTCCTGCTACTGCACGCAAGGAAGGCATGCGCAAGCGCCTGTGACTTACTGTGCTGAGCTCGGAGACGGGCTCGGCGCCTAAACGTGACACTGCGGCTCAGAAGGCCGCGGCTTATGCAGGTATCAGACTTGGTGAAGCCTCGCTCCCTGGTCCTGATAAGAAGCGCAACGATCTTAGCATTGCCCAGTGTAATGTTTGTGGTCCCCGTGGTCTGTGGGCTGCACACCAGCATTGGGTCATTCACGAACCTAAAGATGTTGTCGCTCTGCAAGAGCTTAGTGTTCTGGAATCTGAGTGGAACGCTTTCGCTAGAGCTGCCTCTCGCTCGGGATATCATGCTTATCACCAAGCTGGCGGGATCAGTAAAGACAGGTGGGGCAATCCTAAAGCCACTAGTGGCGTTGCCCTTCTCGTTGCTAAAGGTCTCCGTCAAAGGGTTGTCTTCTCTGACAAAGGTGACTTTGCTCAGCTGCTTGTCGTCGTTGTCCGCGGTTGGCATGTTGGGTCGGGTTACGCCCCCCCACCCATCATGGTGTTCCCCAAAGTGAGCTTTGCTCCCTTCCCTCGGAGCGATGGATTCTCGCGGCGGATATCAATGAGATCCCCAGCAACAGTGAAGTTCTTGCTCACTGCTCTGCCATGGGTGGTTACCCCAAGTTGGCCAACAGGCCCACTCGGTGGAAAGGTAATCGCGAAATTGATTACTTCATGTGCAGTGCCCCTGACACTGTTCCTGATACTTTGTGGCTCGCTGTCAAGCTGTCTGACCACGTTCCTCTGCTCACGCGTGTCCCCTGTCGCTCCCTTGAGACGTCGCGCGGTAGCCTGCAATGCACCCCTTGTTTTGACAATCTGATGGTGTCTCTTGCGAGCTTTGGCGTAAACTTATTTTGCAGCATTGGAACACGAAGTCGGGCGCCAGGGCCACCGCGGTCGCAGTGGTTGCTGACATGCCCACGCATGAAGTGTCCACTGTTGCCGGTGCTCGTCTTGCGCATCAGCCTGAGATTCAGCAAGCCGGTCGGAGGTCATGGCCGAAACCTGGCCCTGCAACATACATGACAGGTATCGGTGCTTACAGAGATGTCTCTTGTGTGGTCAGTGGGTTGCGTCCTCCAGGATCATGACAACGCATTATAAAGGTAGTCATCCCGCCATCGTCAAGCGCTCTGTGAAGGCCACTAAGCCACTAAGCTCTGCCAAAGCTTCTCGGGTACAGGCTTGCCTTGCCTCTACTGTGGGGTTTCTGTTAAGTTGCCTCGGCCTCATACTTGAGGCAGCCTCGGAACCCCACTATCCTGAGACGGGTGATGACAGAAGTGGACATGGCCCACGAGGAGATATTCGGATCTCTAGCGACCGCCCAAGCTGCAGCGTTTGGTCAGGCCTTACTTGTGAAGGGAGGCCTGCAGAAGGACGGCCTGCAGATCCAGAACCCATCCAAGGCACAGAGGCTGGACAACGAAAACAGAAGGCGCTTGTGAGTGGGCAACCAACTCTCTACTCCATTTGGAGGAGGGGACCGGGGGGGACATCAAGGCCGGTCTCAGCAGGCCCTTGTCAAGGTCATGGCTCGGCTGCTTATCTGTGAGGAGACAAGCGTGCAGGTGCTCAAGCAGAATTGCTTTTCGCGCAGAAGCCAAGAACCAGATCATGGAGTGTCCGCTACGAGCTCAGCTTCTCCACACCCTCTTCTCACGGTCCATCAGTGCATCCGGGGCATTAGCTCCAGTCACCAGTCCGGAGATCAGCAATCTTTGCAGTCCAATGGCTGGATGACGGGGGATGGCAAATGGGCCTACCAACGCTGGGATCCGGTCACTCAGGCCCTGAAAGTGGACGAGACCAGGCCACCAATGGAGCACCGAGCTCCTCGATGCAATGGCCAAGGCGGTGAAGAACAGGGACGTCGTTCACCGCTTCAACGCGATGCATCAGACAAGCGCCAGCAAGTTTCTGCTGGAGGTTGGCTTCAGGGCGCCCGGGGTGGCGGATGTATGGGCTGGTCTGGAGTCTCTCCAGAACCTTGCGGCTCTTCAGGTGGTGGGCATGCAGCTCAGGCGCAATTTGGCAGTGGATATGCAGAAAATGCTGGGCGAGCTCTGACCAAGTCCTTGTGCAACCCGACGCAACATTGCTACATTGATTCCTTTGTCATCTCGTGGCTGTGGACATACTGTCTTCTTGAGGCACCTTTGCTCTCAGCTGTTTGGGTGTTTTCCTCAGGCGCGGCGTCATGTGCTGTCCCGAAAGACTGACAGTGTGCCGCCTGGCTTCCGGGGCGGGCTGTTTCGGGGTTGGTCGAGGCCAACTGCTCAGCATGACGTTGCAGCCTTTATCGAGCACATTATGGAACAGATGCAACCCTTGGAACTTCAAAGCCATTGGCAGTCTCGACTGGGGACTACCATGGACCATGCTGTGGTCCATGATGAGGGTATACTCTCCTTGCTCCAGTCATTCTTCATCTTTGCGAGGATGGCGTTACTGACGCGCTGCAGGGATGCATCGATCGATGGCACATGCAGGCAAGGCTACATGGACTTGCGCAGGCCAGCTCAGTCGTGATGTTACAACTTGCTAGATACAGCTTTGGTCCCAGAGCAAGAACCGTGCTGAAGTTGAAATTTTTCAGAAAGTGCGGATTCCGATTTTTGGCCGAGGTCTCAGGATATATCATGTCATGCCACATATGTTGTCTGTGCGGTCTTGGTCCACCATGGGAACACTACAAACATTGGACGTTACACCTCACTGCTCCTGGAGCCGAGCGCTCTGCCCAGTGGCTCATGTTGGAAGATGGATGATGACGAACCGGCAAGGCGCTTCTCGCATGTTCCGGAGTCTGCGACGAAAGATGGTTACATTGTCATCCTTGCTCGCTGCAGGTTCTCCTGACACGGTGGAGTTTTCACTTTAAAAGAGGTGCTGGTACAGCGAGCCTTCTTGTTGGTATGTGGATGAGTTTCGAGTTTTGACCTCACAACATTTGTCAACATTTTGTTGATACCGTTCGGTTCTCATTGGACGAGAGCCGAGCACGATCATCAAAACATGAGGCGCCTGCTGACACTCGTGTCGGGGCAATGACTTACCGGGCTCTACTGAGTAGAGTGCGCTTAGGCTGGCTACAAGGCTGCCGTTAGTGGGACGCTTAGCGGACGTTTCGCTGCGAGTGAAGAAGAAGAAGTAGTAGTAGTAGTAGTGGTGGTCGTAGTAGTAGTGGTCGTAGTAGTAGTGGTAGTAGTAGTAGTAGTAGTAGTAGTAGGAGTAGGAGTAGGAGTAGGAGTAGGAGTAGAAGGAGTAGTAGGAGTAGTAGGAGTAGTAGGAGTAGTAGGAGTAGTAGGAGCAGTAGGAGTAGTAATAGTAGGAGTAGTAGAAGGAGTAGGAGTAGGAGTAGGAGTAGGAGTAGGAGTAGGAGTAGGAGTAGGAGTAGGAGTAGGAGTAAGAGCAGGAGCAGGAGTAGGAGTAGGAGTAGGAGTGGAGTGGGAGTAGGAGTAGGAGTAGGAGTAGGAGTAGGAGTAGGAGTAGGAGTAGGAGTAGGAGTAGGAGTAGGAGTAGGAGTAGGAGTAGGAGTAGGAGTAGGAGTAGCTGTTGCAGTTGCAGTTGCAGTTGCAGTTGCAGTTGCAGTTGCAGTTGCAGTTGCAGTTGCCGTTGCCGTTGCAGCAGCAGTAGTTGTAGTAGCAGTAGTAGTGGTGTCGACAAACACGGAAATCCAGCCAGCCGGCGTTTAGTTGAGGTTCACGGCGCCTGCTGGTAATGGAGTTTATCGATGGCTGCAAAATCATCAATGCTCCGACGTTCTTTGATGACTGGGACTATGCCCGTGACGTTCCAGCTTTGCATGCGGCACTGGCGCCTTGGCCTTGCTGTGTTGTGTGCTGCCAGTAGTAGAAAACCGGATGGCCCATTTGAGGAGACTTGGCACGCCATGCAGCTCTTCCTCACAGGACCCGAGAAGGTAGCGTCAAGTGAGAAGTGCAAAGATCGTTTGCGTTTCAAAGACCTGTTTGCTTGTCTCGCTTCATTTTGCTGAGCCGAGAATGGTGCAAGTGCTACTGGCACGTTCGTTCGATTGTAATTCCAGATGCGATTCGTCGTTGTTTGCTCTCAGCACTTCATTCATCACTGTTTCCGTGTTTTCTTCCTCAATCAGGTTGTAGCTTGGCTTCTTCTTGATGCAGGATGCTTTCATGGTGATCCGCATCCGGGCAATGTCTTGGTAAGGCGTCGCCCGGATGCAGTGCCGGCGGGGCAGAGCCCATTCCAGGCAGCTGGTAGGATGCTGTAGGATGCGTCGTGCGGCTGCTAGATAATCTCAGGTACGTTGTGCATGCAGGGGTCGACATACAAATGGCCACGACACACACCGCTGCGCACGAGCTACTGCCATGTGGTTTGCGACAGGTCGTCGTCATTGACCATGGGGGCTACTACACATTGGATGATGATACCAGGAAGAAGTATGCAGAAGTATGGAGCATGATGGATGAGCCGAAGAGCGATGCACAGAAGACCGCCAGACGTGCACGCCTTAAGGTGTCCTGGCTTGACAAGTAAATTTGCTTGGGCATTATCATGCAGAAGTCGGCCCTCAGGCAATCATGGCCGGTTGGGGTGTCGGGCACACCTCGCGTTTTGTCATCGAGCAGATGTTTAATGGTTCCTTCGGTGCAGCAGATCCGACGGCCTCCATTACGGAGAACGGTGAGGCCCGGCGACACCGCTGGAATTGGATGCACCAAAAAACCGACGACCTGGGGCCTCCCATCTTCGAGGACACGGCCAAGATGCCGCCGGCACTCATGAAAGCCTTCGGTGTGGGGAATTTCACACGAAATGCTTGGACCGTTCTGTCCAAGGGCCGAAAGGAGCTGCGTGGTTGGGACTTCTGCAAAGTCCGCGTTGCCATCATGATCGATTGGGCCAGGAAGTGTCCAGGAACACACCGTGCACCGTGAGAAAAAATGTCCGAACAAGCACAATTCGAGATCTCTTCAGGAGCTATGTGCAGTTGCCTAGCATCGGTGCCTTGCCAGCACCTGGCAAATCAAAGAGCCAATACAGGCGGGGAGACTCATGAAAGCAGGCATGCAGGGGTTCGGAGCTTTGAAAACACATGCAGAGACACGGATGATTTTTGTTGCTGTGTTTGTGCTCGTGTCTCCGTGCGTCCCCGTGCATCCATGCACACTTGAGCATATTGGCACATGTTGGCGGCAGCAGGAGAACCTACTTGCTTGTCTGAAGTATTTCGGCTCTCAAGCTCTCCAACATCACTCACTAGTGGCTAGCTTCTGGCAACATGAGGCTGATTGCTGTGGTGGCAGCGATTGCAGCACATGGGGCAGCAGCACAGACTCTTGAAGTCCATGGCAGCGGCACAACGAACCCCTCGAAGTTCTTCTGGCACATCATGGACAGCTTTATGGCCATGACCCGCCGAGACATTCGGCTAACTTACCGTGCTGTGGGAAGTAGCACCGGGCAGAGGGAGTTCACCCAAAGCTCCGACAACGACTACGCTGCGGGCTTGACAGACTTTGGCTCTGGAGACATCCCCATGACGAATGCACGTTGGTCAGGCTTGCAGACTGCTGGGAGGGGCGCAGTTCATGTTCCCTTCGCCCTTGGCGCCATCGGCATCTTCCACTCCGTGCCAGAAGGTGAGGTGGGTGCTCAGGGTCTGAAGCTGAAGCCCTGCGTCCTGGCCAAGATCTTCAGCGGCGCGATCACGGAGTGGACCGACCCGGAGATCGCCGTCGACAATCCCGGAATGGCCGGCATCCCGGCGGGGACCAAAATTCAGGTCGGGCACCGAAACCTGGGCTCAAGCAGTACCTCAGGCGTGTCGGGGTACCTGGTCGCTGCCACGGCGGCTGCTGGCTGCACCGCCGACTGGACACTGGGCTCGGGCTCTACGTTGACCTGGCCAACGGCACCCACACATACCAACTTCCATCCAGTGGAGGGCTCGGGTGGGATGACAACTCACATCGCCGCGACGAAGTATGCCATCGGCTACATTGATGCAGGCCACGGCCACCAGCGGGGCTTCTCGGAGGTCCACTTGCAAAACCCTGCCGGCACGTGGCTCACTTCTAAGATGGCCATGGAGAGTGGTGCTTCCCCCGCACAGAACGGCATCGCAGCTGCCGGTGCTCAAGCGGTCACTGCCGGCACCATTCCTGCAGATGCCGCCGCCGACTGGAGTGCCGTGAACCTGTACAACCAAGGTGGCACCGACACGTGGCCCATCGTCCTAGTCTCCTACATCTACGTGACAACGGACATGTCTTCTTGGTCAGTCGACAAGGCATCGTTGTTGAAAGCCTTCGTCGACTATGTCACTGAGGCAACAAAAGGCCAGGCATTGCTTGCCGAGTACTCCTTCAACCCTGTGCCGTCGCAGATGAACACCTGGGCCACGGTCTGGTCTTCCAAGATCACGAAGCCTGCAGCCTATGCTGACGTGTTCTCCTTCGAGGACTCGACCAACGCTTGGACGGGGCAGGCACTGAACGTCATCAGCGTGAAGAGGAACACCTACTCGCTCTGGCGGGCCCACGAGCTGGAGCTGGCGAACGAGGCCTTGGAGGCACGGGTCCAAGCCCTCGAGCAACACTTGGACGACTTCGGCGTGGTCCCGCTGCACGGCAGTGGCACCACCAACCCCCGCAATTGGTTTGCCCAGGTGATGAAGCAGATGGAGCACCGTGCCCGTGCTCCTCTTCTCCTGACCTACCGTGCAGTGGGCAGTAGCACTGGTCAGAAGGAGTTCACAGGCCAGGCGAGCTCCGGATGGGCGAGCTACAACCACTTCGGTGCCGGGGACATTCCCATGACGAAGGAGCGTTTCGACTCAATGGCTGCCCAAGGAATCACAATGTTGCATTTGCCCTTTGCCCTGAGTGCGATCGGCATCTTCCACAGCGTGCCTGCAGGTGAACTGGGCGCCGCTTCACTGCAGCTCCCAGACTGCTTGCTCGCTCGTGTCTTCGGTGGTGACATCACCACCTGGGACCACCCGGACATCAAGGCAGTTAATCCTGGACTGAATGTGCCTGCAGGCACGGTCATCAAGGTTGGCCACCGGACTGCAGGATCTAGCAGCACCACTGGTTTGACGTCCTACCTCAAGCAGAAGTGCGAAGGCACTGGCTGGACTCTTGGATCTGGCTCCACCGTCACATGGCCTACGAGTTCAGGGTTTACCCCAGTGCAGGGGTCTCAGGGCATGCAGCAGCACATCTCCGACACGCCGTATGCCATTGGCTACTTGGATGCAGGCCACGGGCATCAGTATGGCTTCGGCGAGATTGCTCTGAAGAACAAAGCCGGCCGAACTCGCACATCGAAGGAGTCCATGGCACTGTCACCGTCCGGCGTGCAAGAGGCCGGAACGCAGGGAGTGAACTCCGGGACGTTCCCGAGCTTGCCCAACGTAGATTGGAGTGCCGTGAACCTTTATGACATGGAAGGCGACAACACTTGGCCCATCGTGCTGGTGAGCTACCTCTACGTCCGCAAGGATCAGACCAAGACGAATCCGAAGACGGCTGCCGCGTTGCAGGCGTTCCTGCAGGTCATCCTGAGCGACGAGGAAGGCCTGGCCGCAGAGTTCCTCTTCACTCCTCCAAGTGCTGCGGTGAAGGCGGTGGCTCAAGCGGGTGCAGATCAGATCCTCTACCCTGCCGGCATGAAGAGCTTCGCTTTCGAGTCAAGCACGGCGGCTTACACTGGAATGGGTGACAACATCATCAGTGTGAAGCGCACTGCCTTCGATGACTACCAGCGCGGCCTGTTGTTCAAGGAGGTCGATGCCATGAAGTCCCAGCTCGCACAGCTCCAGACAGCTACTGCTTCGCAAGAGGGAAGCGCCGCCCCAAGCGAAGACTCGACAGGTACAGCTGCCCTGGCAGTTGCCATCATTGCTGCCGTCCTCGCCGCGATGGCCTTGCTGGTTGGATGCTTCGCTTACTCTAAGGGTCGAAGTGCAGCAGCTGGAGCCAGCGGGACGATGCTGGGACGCCCTGAGGTTTGAGCAAGCCAATGACACAGTTCTCCTTCGAAGGGTTTGGGGTCCAAAGCTTTCTAGTGATCTAGATCTCTAGTGAATTTACTGATGAACTTCATTCGATATGATCAAGCTACAGCACCAAGCCAGACCCAATCTTTTCTCGGCCGGAGGTTCGTAGACCGGCACTTATGCGCGGCGTGCTTGCCGCAGTGATTTGCTTTCTACCTGCCACCGCAAAGCGGCGGCAGTCGAATCAGCAAGAGGCTTTCGCTGGATTGAGCGAGACTCTGCCACCCCAAGAGTTTCGTCGACTTGAACCGCTGCCTCGCCATCGAAGGTGGGCCGGCAGACATCATTACGCGACGCGTTCGAAAGCAGAGAGACAAACAGAGTTCAATCTACAGCAGCGCTGTATCTGGCAGTTCGGCAAGCCCAATCTGAACCGCAGCTGAGAAATTTGGTGAGTTTGTAGTTGGAAAGTTCGGGAGGGAAGGTTGGCCAGTACAAATTAAAGGGGCTGGCTGTCAGCGACTCAGTTTGTCATATGCGAGTGATGCAAAGCTGTGTGACATGCATCTCATCGAAAGGCTTCTGAAGCTGTGCCACGACTATTCCTCACAGCCAGAAGTGCGACTGTGCCCCTTTTTATTTGGTGCTGAGGCTGCGTGTGATGGGCCACTGCCTCTGCATACATGCGGAGCAGGTGCCCTGCCAATGTCCAGTCGTTTACATCGCGGATCTGCATCAGTGATCATCAGTGCGCAAAGATGCAGTTCTATTTTCCTTGCGTTGCGGCAGCTGCTGATCATTGTGGATGCAAGTCCCAGGCCGATCAACATCAGCAAGACATCGAGCCTTTTCCAGGGCGTCAGCGTCCGAGGTACTAGTTGGCAGCAGAGCATCAATGCACATGGATCAAAGCACTGGTGGCTTGAGCGCTCGCTAGCGAGTTTAGGCGAAGCTGGCTCATATTCTTTATATAGTCTGACTCGGGTCATCTCAGCAACTTCATTGCTCGACATGGCTCGCATTGCACTGTAAAATGATTCCGCAAAGCCTGTGCAATTCCTGGAAGCAGCACAAGGTCAAGCACAAGCAACACGCTAGCCAGGCACATACTGCAGCTAAGCTGTGACGTTCAAATGGCTGTGCCATGTCGATTCCTGGAAGCGAGACAGACTTCACAGGAGCACCGGGCATCCCCAAAAGAGACTTGAACGCCGATAAGAGACGTCCTATTTGCATCCCACCTGACAGGCTTCTTCCATGCAGCCATTGCCCACCTAGCGTGCCGACCAGACTGCAGCAGCCAATGGTGGCAGTTCGAGAAGGACACGCTGTGTGAGAACTTGTCTGTGTGATGTTTCCTGAGCTTTCACTGGAGGATCCTGCAGTCAAGGCCACGCCTCGCAGCAGTTTTCAACTTGTTGCCTGGACACCTTTACAGGCAACCTGGGCAGCGCTGGGGCTTCAACAGCCCATGCCAAGGATGGAAGATGCACCGGGCTGAGTTCACGACCTGTTCTTTGCTGGTCTCCGCTGTTCTGCTGCTCATGGCGTGAGTGGATCTGCAGTGTCTCATCTCCAGGTGCTGGCAGCTCGCCCAGACCTGTTTAGCCGATCCCACAACGGCAAGAACATGGTCCTCAAGCTGCAGGACGTGACAGTGCTTTCGAGTGCTTTCGAGTGCTTCGCCGCTCTGCGCCGCTTCGCCTTGAAGGCACTCGGTCTCTCGTGCCTACCGCCTGGACCCGAGCCTCCGAGCCTCCGAGCCTCCGAGCCTCAGCTCTGCTCGATTTCGGGCTCAGCGCTGGAAGCCGAGGCCAGCAGCCATCCCACCCCTGGGCACTGCACCTCCAAGCCCACTGGTGCCGGGCACGAACCAGGCCCGTGCAGTTCCCTGCCCACGCAATGCGCACTCAGCTGTGCTGCAAGGGCCCTGCGGCGAAGTGGGGAGGCTGCTTAGCCCAGAGGTCTCAAGAGTCATGTCATGCGCCTTGGCTTCAGGTCCCTGGGCGGGCAGAGCAGGAGGCTACATGAAATCGGCAGCCCCCTTAGAAGAGCTTGGAGCACAGAAGAGCTTGGAACGTCTTCGTGTTGTGGAGCCGGAAGGGCCCGGAGTTGCCTCGGCAGCCCCTCTTTGGCGGGGAAGCTTTGGAGGGCGACGTGCTGGAGTGGAAGGTAGACGCCGGCTTTCCAAACGGAAGCCCATCCTTTGCTTCGTGCAGGGCAAGTTCGGCTGGATTAAACCGCTCCAGCCGATCGATCATCCTCTGGCAGCCGGATGCCAAGCGAGACTGGAGCACCACAAGCAGAATCCGGTAGTTTTAAGCAATTTCTCTGGAGTGTTCGCCCAGTCCCGGAACAAGTCTCGCATCTACGTGCACGTGAAGGCGTGCATCACAGAACCAAACAGTTTCCGGTGCGGTCGCAAGATGCTGCGAGCACTGCGGCAGGACCTCGCCGACGGCTTGCAGTCCCTGACCGCTGGGCAGCGTGTGGCTTTCCAGGCCGTGTCCGATGCACCGGACTGCCCCTTTGGATGTCGCCAAAGAGTGTTTTTACAGGGGTGTCTTTTCAAGTACTGCAGGCATACACTGACGACAGTGGCATCGGTGCAGAGGCAAATCGAGAGCAGTCCGACATTCGTGTCCCGTTCGCAGATGCCAGATCAGGCTGTCCACCTTCCAGAAGCCGAGGCTCCAGCAGCATAGGACGCAGAAGACCGACAGCCCTTCAGCCCCGTCTCTTCTCAGCTCCGGGCGCTGGGCAATGTCGGTGAGCTGAAAAGGCGAAAAAGATTCCTCCGCCAAGGGTGCAGCTTAATTCGCTTTTGGGGTATCTGAAGTCTGAAGCAAGGTTCGGCCTCCGCATCCAAAAGTGGGCCAAAGCCGTCGCCGCCGCCACTTGGCCGCCACGAGCCTCCTTGACTGAGTTTTGTCTCCATGGAGTCGTGTCACCTGCCAGGCCGAGTGCCAATGTGTCCTCGGAGGTCAGTGCGCTCAGAGGAGTTTGTGTGACAGCGGCGGCGATAGCTCCCTGGCCAGGAGCGGGTCGAGCGCCCCACCGTGCTGCTGGAGCTGCTTGACTTGCGTCGAAGATGTCTTCGAAGTTGTGACGACTTCAGTGTTGACACTTCCACCTAGGCATGGCATCAAGTATACTGGCCAGTGGAAGGGAGACAAGCGTGATGGCCAGGGCTTGCAGGACGGGTTTTGGAAGATCTTAGACGTGTCTTTTGAAAGCAATTGGGGTCTGGTGTTCGGACTTGACAGGAATGGCCGGATGGCGCGCGCTTCGACGGCTCCCATCCAAGCAGAAAGTCAGGAGTTTGTGACGACAAGAAGCAAAAACTGTGCGACCTGCCCGAGGTCAGTGGCGAAATGGCTTAGCAGAGGGCTTTGGAAAGTTCATACACGCCGACGGCCAGCCCGCCAGCTGAGCTGTGTCGTCTCATGGGGCTGCTCTGAAACAGCACGGTGCTCCCAGATACTTGCCCAAGCTCCCACTGTCCTTTCTGCTCGCACGAGTGTGTGTCTGTTCGCATGACATAGCAAGTCTGCAGACACCGTTTCACCTGGTCGCTCGCAACCTCGAAAATAGATACAGATGTACGTCATGCATGATGCATACCGCTAAAATCGAGGCACCGGTTGTGATTCATGTCGTGAAAAAAAGGTCCGGAAAGGTTTGTCGTCGCGGAGAGTCCTCACCTTTATTGAAAACAATGCTCGGACCATCGACAGTCGATCGCTTCCGGCTCAAGCTGTGAAGATGCACAGTTCCTTGTTCCAGGAATGTCACATTCTAAGACTCATGAGTTTTCTCAAGACTAAGTGTGAAAGCACCCCTCAAGCAGTCGGTCAGCTTTGTTTTTTGCGAAGCGCAGCTCTCAGGAGTACGTGCCGCAGCCGATGGAGGCCCTTTGAGTTTCGCGTGAAAAAAGGGGTAAGTCCCGCCATGGCTGTGCAGTTTGTGAGCCCTGTCACATTTGTGTGGCAGTGGAGCCACTTTTGCCATCCAGGGAAGGCTTAGACTGTGGCCGGCCTGCCTGCGATTAAGGACTTCTTGTGGGGTTTCGGCGGAAGCGGTTTACTTTGTCGAGGTATAGTTCTTTGGCCAGTGTGTTGGTGGCGGCTTGAGACGCACGTGAAACAGCAGGGCCGTGATGTTGCGGTCGTACTATGATGACCTGGGAGAGGCCCAGGACTTTCGTGAGGACTCTGAGGAGTCGCAGTTGTTCGACACCCCGCTCCAGGAAGTTGTTGGGCGGTGGCGACGAGCACCGGTGGCTGGTTTATTGGTGATAGGAGCGGGGGCAGTGCTCCAGATGAGTTTTTTGGAGATAGACGACAGCGACGTTTTTTTTTTGGGGGGGATGGTTGGTCTCAAATGGACCGGCGATCGACAAGAAGAAGATCATCGAAGTGATCACGCCGCGGCCGGCAAGGACCACGAGACTGCGTGGATTGATGATTCCCGAGATGAGAACTGGGGACAGGGGTTGGAAGACGGGCCTTCGGCCTCTACGGTGTGGGGTGCTGCCTCGTGGCCAACATGAGCATTGGAATTGGAAGTCTGGTAGTGAGGCCGGGCCTTCCTTTTATTCGTCGCGGACGTACACGACGCCCGGGAGTTTGCCATGGACGCGGACGTGGCACTTCGTATCCTCCAGTTTCTGTGCCCGACCGCAAGAGAGCTACGTCGAGTGGAAGAGGAGCGTGCAGTGCGAGGATAATGGTGCAACTTAAAGACAGAGCAGCTCAGCCTGTGAAGACTGTGTCGCTGGAGGACGTCAATGTCAAAGGTGGCATGGAGCGCATCTTTAGAGTGCTTGACCCCTGGGTCGAACGTGCTTGGTGGCCATTAGGTTGATGGGACCCCAGGGCGGGCCTCTCCCCGTCCAGGAGCACCCACCTGCACCTCGCGCCCCTTCGTGGGGTGACAGTGCCTTCCCTTCCTCTTCTCTCTTCTCTCGTCTCTCTTCCTTCACCTCCCCTTTCAACTTGGTCGCACCTCTCTTCTTCAGCTCATGCTGATGTTGTCTGGGGCATTTCTTGTGTCTGGCCCCTGTTTTGCTGGGATTTTTGATTCCTGATCCCCCTCCTCTCCTTTGTCCCTGGTACCCCGAGACCACGATATGGTACTTGGTGCTCCTTCCTGTCACATTTGACCGGGTGTGGGGCGATTCTGGCTCGCTGATCATAACTGGCCCACCCCTCTCTGTTCTCCCTCCGTGTCCTCAGCTTGCCTTTTGGCCGTTTCTCAGTTACTCCGATCTCGCTGCCGCGCCTCTGTGCGATATGGGTTTGTCGTGCTGCGTTCATCCTTTGTGCTCGGCGTGGCCGTTGGCCGCTCCTATCTGATCTTCTCCATCGGGTCGCCTTTTTGCGCCATGGGCCACTACTGCTGCCTTCCTGCTTTATCCTCGGCTTGGCCTTCATCTCCTTCTGTGGGCCGCGCCTCTTTGCGGTTGGGCAAGTCCTGCTGCGTGCCTGCTTTGTTCTCACTCATTATACTCGGGCCGTGCCTCTGTGCGCTATTGGCGTCTCGTGCATGCCTTTGTATGCTAAGTATATCCTCTTCTCTTCGGTCCGCGCCTCTGTTCCCGAGTGGCCTGTCATGCTCCGTGCTGCCTGATTTCTCCCTTCTCTCAGTTCATCACGAATGCCTTGCAGTGGAGAAGGAGTTGCAGCGGCACGATCAATGGTGATGATGATGGCCCTGCTGCGGAGCCGGGCCAACCTTCAGCTCCGAAGCCGGTGGAGAATGAAGCGAGCTCATCGTCCTCATCGTCATCCTCCGATGCCGAGCCCGAGGAGATGTCTGTGGAACACAAGAGAAGGCCAAGCTCCTCGATGACACTCCGTTCTGCGTTCGGCAAACAATGCTTGGCAAGGCCGAGGATGCAACCGCTCGCTCCGGAACCTCATGAGCTGGAAATTGTCAAGAAACAGCGACTCTTTGAGAAGCTGGCTAAGCAACTGGAGCCACCCACCACTTTGCAAGAGCCAGGGATCCGGGACCATCTGTCGCAGGCCTCGGCAAAGTTCAAGTCGGCGAAGTGAGGGGTGTTGCAGAAGCCGAAACGAACGAACGGCCGGAGCCGGGTGTCCAGACCTCAAGGAGCTGTTTTTGCCGAGGTGCCAATTAACTCTAGCGGAGGTGATCGTGACCGCGGAGGTGGGTTTTTTGGGCGATGTTCCGCGATGGTGAGTGCTAGGCCATGGTCCAGGACATGATTGGACGCGTGCCACGGACAAGGATGGGGTCGCCGAGATGGTCACTAAAGGCTCGCGTGCAGCGCAAGTGGACGCTCTTGGATGAGACCTGGAAGCGAGCCTATGTTGAACCTCTGAAGAAAGCTATGCAGGTGCATGAACCATGATGGGATCCGCGCTGTGATAGACCCAGCGAGGGTCTTGGGATCCAGGACTTTGGAAGGTGCTGACCTTCGTGCGAGATGGATCATGGGCGGTCGTCACGACCCTGATGTGGGCTTGTGTGCCACTAGCTCGACGACCGCCGAGACTTTGGGGCACAGTTTGTTGAACTTTGTGGCGGTGCAGAACAAGTCGGTGATACATTTTGAGGACGTTTCAGCTGCGTGCTTGCAGGGCAAGCAGCTCCCGCGCACGGACAAGATATATGCCCACATTCCACGTGGGTTGGCTCCGGAGGTGGTCGAGTTCTTGGTTATGGCCCTGGGTGGAAATCTGCTGGATTACCTCTTTACATCACTAAACCGGTCTCGGTTTGCCTGAGAGCCCCCGATTGTGGCACCTCGCTTACAAGGAGATCCTCCAAGAGTTGGGGCTGCATGAATTTGCAGGTGACGATACGGATCGAGTGGCGTACCTCCATGAGGTGATCCATGGCGACAGCACAGTGGGTCCTTTGACCGAAGCTGAACGAAAGGTGCCAAGTTCGGTAGTGGGGCAGCTGAATTTGGTCGTCAAGGGAGGTACGATTTACGTTTCGGCACGTCTCTGGTGCAGCAGCTGGCTGGGCACTGGCGAGGTGAAGCACTCAAGTGGGTGAACACAGTGGTACGCCGAGCCCGTGAACCAGTACGACTTGTCATGCGTTCACCTGGATGTGCACTCGATGAGGTCGTCATCTTGTCAGGAGCGATGCTGCTTTTGGTGCCATGCCGAACGGTGCCAGCCAATGCGGGACTATGGTACTGTTCGCAAACCCTCAAGTCCTTGAGGGCCAGGCCCCTGTGTGCATCATGGAAGCCGTGAGCACGAAGATCCAACGAGTGGTGATCTGCTCTATGTCAGCTGAGGTGTCTTCGCTAGCCACCGCCTTTGAGCACGGCGACTATGTGCGGGCGGTGTTCGTCGAGCTCATGCACCAGGGCTTCGAGTTCCACAGATGGAAGATCTGTGTGGCACCTTGGCCACACTTGCTGGTCACCAATGCCAGGACCGGCTACGATGTTGTGAGCTCCGAAACCTTGCTTATGGATCGGAAGATCGCGATCGATGTTGGGGTTCTCCGACAAGGCCTCATCGATGACGGCGTTGGTTGCAAAGTTCGATGGGTGCCTGGGAGCCAAATGCCGGGCCACAGGCTCACGAAGTGGCATCACAACAGCGTGATCATGGTCGCTGCGGGACATTGAGACCCCGCGGAAACTTCGTAGCGTTGCAGCTGCTAAGCGAGCTGGTTGGCGCAAGAGCGTTACGGCTGCACCGACTTGAGGACCAGGGGGTTTTGTGTGAAAGCACTCTTCAAACAGTCGGTCAGCTTTGCTCTCAGAAGTAGTGCCTCAGCCGATGGATCCTTGTGAGTTTCGCGTGAAAAAAAGAGTTAAAGTCCCGCCATGGCTGTGCAGTTTTTGAGCCCTGTCACATTGGTGTCTAAGTTGTGTGTTGTTTTCGACGGTGTATTTCGTGGATATTCCTTCGAATCAAAGTCACACCTTGTCTTCACAGTTTACGGACTGTCCAATGCCGACCGTACTGGCAGGCGACGTCTATGAAGGGCAGTGGAAGGATGACAAAGCCAACGGAGAAGGTGTGGATCGATTGATCGTTGGGGCACAGGGAGCTTCACCTCACCACGGGAGGCGTCTACCACCATGCCGACGGCTCCAGGTTTTCCGCAGTTAGTCATGAAAGTGCAGACTTCTTTGCTGTTGACTGCCGTAGGCAGCATAGCAGGTACGTTGGCGAGTGGAAAGATGATCAGAAAGAGGGTCATGCGATGGAGGAGTGGGCCGGGGCCCGAGAGTCACCCGACGGAGGTGCGTGGGGCCTCGGCCTGGGGTCCCCGTAAATGTTGGCCCTCGGAGTAAGGCAGACAATTCCCGCTTCGAGGGAGAGTACTATGCCCAGCCAGGAAGTTTGCTTCCGTTTGTTCCCTGAGTGGATTTGGCTCCCGCAGACGTTGTGCCAAGGTATCGTGCCGGCAAAAAGCACGGGCATGGAACATTTACCTGGCCAGAGGGTTCCTCGCCACTTGCTCAGTGGCTCATGACAGGACTATAGACTAGAGACGACTGCTTGAGCTGAGAGGTACGAGGGCGAATTTCAGAACAATGAGATACACGGTCAGGGCACGTGAGCTGCCAGACCTGACTGATGTGTCGTTCGGTGTCTCGCACTGAAGATCCACGATGGATGCTCCTCAACGTTGAGACAAATAGGTACTTCTGGAATGATGGGCGTGTGTACTGTGGGCAGTGGGCGAACAACAGGATCCACGTTGCTTCCAGCATTCGCCTACAGTCCTACAGTGCACTGTAGCAGAGTGCAGGATGAGTGGCCAGGGCACGTTCACGTGGAGAGACGGCCGGAAGTTGGCAGCCCAGCTTGCGACACTTGTTCCCCGTTCCGATTGGATTCGCTTAAGGTACATTGGCAGCTACATGCACGACAAAAAGGCATCCAAGAGAGCGGAGCCAACCTGGCACCCAAAAGATCTGCACTGCAAGCTGCAGGATGGACACGGAGTGTTCACGTGGCCAGATGGACGAGAATATGTCGGTGACTGGAAGGAGCCTGCGCTCTTTGTCCTAGCACTGTGCTCTAGCACTGCTCTCTGAGAGGATGGCAAGCAGCATGGCATTGGAGTCTTCAAGACCGCCAAGGGCGACTATCGCCGCGGTGAGTGGAAGGCAGCGGAGTTTCGTGCTGGCCGAAGGAAGAAGTGGCTTCTCTTGCAGCTGCAGGATGGCAGTCGCATCCGCTGGATCTCGGAGGTGCCCCTTTCTTCTTTGCCGCTGCTCGCACGGCTCCTTTGATGCAAGGCGTATCGGGAGGATGGGCAGCAGCCTGGCTCTCCTTCAGCTCCCCAGGCCCTTTTTTATGAGGTGGCAGAGCTTTCCCCTTTGGCCTTGTCAATGCCAGGATGCAGCGCAAAACACTGCGGCTTGACTTGCATTGTTGCACGGGGCGTGAACTTGTGCTCTCTAGTGTCTGATGCTAAAAGCATCTGAGAGTTGTCGTGCAGCCGCTGGTGCGACGGAAGCGCGATTCTAACACTAGGGCTTTTGCCTTCTAAAACAGAGTTGCTGCTTGTTGGAATCGTTGACGACGTTGGCCAAGAGTCGCCAAGTCAACGCACAAAGATGCGTGCAGACCGCCACCATGGCTGGCTGCTGTCGCTTTCGGCGTTTAGCGAGTTCTCCATTTTGAGTCGCCGTGCACATGCAGAAAGGCAGATTTCTGTCCTCCAAAAAAATGTCGGAACCGTGGGTTGCATGTGGATAAAGGGAGCTGCAGCACCTAGCGGACCTAGCGGCCCTAGTCCCGTGGTTCCGCAGAAGCCCTGGCAAAGGATCAGGTCACATCGTAGGACAGCCGGTGTCACCGTCGGACAAAGCTCTCTCTTCTGGCCGGCAGCTCTTGAAGATGCGCCGATGAAAAGAGCCGTCGCGACAGCAATGAAGCTTCTTATTCTTATTCACTGTGGTTGTGCGGTTGAGTCTTCACAGTCACTGCTGCTGCTCCATCATATCTGTGACTCCTTTCAAGAATTTAGTGCTATCTTGCAATGCATCAAGAAAGAGAGGAAGACTTATCGTCATTTTGGGGCATTCATGTGCAGATCACAAGGCGGATAGACATAGTCTAGCGTGCTTTCGAGGTTATCTCATGCATCAGCACAGGATGGGTAGATCAAGTGGTAAATGGAGCGATGATGAAGACCACACACACGACCACGTAGACAGACAGGATACAGAAAAGTTTTCGAACTGTCAGCATCGCACCGGTGACCCTGCCGTCATGTAATGAACTTGCGAGCAGCCACGGACGAGTTGTAGTGTTTGCCGCTCAAATGGCGGTGGAGCCCTTCAACATTGTTGTGCGCAGCTCGGTCATTCCGCAGCACACGGATTGTTGCTGTCGCACTACACAGCGAATGCACGCGTTGACATGCTGCCTTCTTTTTTGTGGCGTCTCTCTCCGCAGTGACGGGGGGCCCCCGGAGGGGCAACCTCCTCTTCACGGCCACGGCCGGTGGTTGTGCTACCCCAACAAGATGCTAAGAGCTGCTGAATTGCATCATCTCAGCCACGAGCTGAGGTCCGGAATACCTTCATTGATGCTGTGCAAGTTCTCGCCCCAGCTTCAAGAATCTATGCATTGCCGTGGTCGGTGTATCAAAACCGGAACATGGGTGCCGACATGGGAGGAGCCGGAGGGCAGAGTTCTGGATGACAGCCCCTTGAATCGGACCCTTTGTGCGCCATTTCTATTTTCCACTTGAAGCTGCCTGGACCTGATGAGTCTGCGAGGACGCATTCTGATCCAACTGGAGGCTACTCCAAACAGGTCTTGAACTTGGACAGGCCACGCTCTGACATCGCGGTGGCTCGCGGTCCGTTTATGCCCATGTCGAAACTTTGCGCAGGATAGTGCCGCGAGCAGGAATAGCCGAGGCTGGAACCCTTAGTCGGAGCTCGAGCTGAGCTGTGCGAGCTGACTACAGGAGGAAGAGGTTCACGACCTCCCAGAGCCAGCGCTTGTCTCGGTTCTACGGATGGTTCTACGGAGCTATCGTCGTCAGCAACGTGGTTGCTTGAGGCTTTCCACTGTCGGATGAAACTAGAGGAGGAGGAGCCTATGACTGGAGCGTTGATAGGGGTCCCGGCTCCGCACCGCATCCGCAGGAGGAGACGCCCCTGGCTCGGACGAGGAGCATGGGTCAGCCGCAGCCGTCGGCATCTGCCAAAATCTCAACAGTTCCCGGCGCCCTGGCGAGCTGTCAAAGACATCTCCAGAACATCACGCCAAGGTCCTGGCAGGGATCGGCCGCACCCTCTCGGCGGCCTCTGCAGGTGCTCTGCCGGGCTGGACTGGCAAACAGCTAGCAGCTAGATGAGAGAGGGTTTTACGAGCCTTGCCGCAGCTTTAGCCGAAGGCGAATCGCTGCAACGACTCCTGACTGGTGGTGGCGAGGAGCAGCATTCTGCAAGCAGTGGTTGGACCAGAATCGGTGTGCAGACTGGCTTCAAGATCACGGCAGGATGAAAGCTTTGCGGCTGCCATGGAAACGGTGCCTCCTTGGGTTTCGCCTGAGCCTCATGGCAGTTGGCATAGATGTTTCGGCCGCGTGCTTTTCGTCCGCAGACTTGCCTGTTCCAGTGGCATTTGCATGTCCGCAAAAAGTCGGAATAAGGAACATGGGTGTTCCTCAGCCGCCGTGGATGTACCCCACCTGTGGCTTCTCTATCAGGGGGCTGGATGTTTGTCTTGATGTCTCTGCAGGTATCCGCCGGGTCCACAGGCTCCGGCATCTGCATCAATGATGCCGCCAAGGCGGAGTCGAGATCTCTAGAATTCGCTGAATTCGCTCACCTGAGCAGCGCTCAGGTGGAGTATTGATAACCTGACGGTTCAGACGGCGGTTAAGACTGCAGCCGCGCAGAGTGCTGCCCAGGCGGCAGCGGCCCGACTTTCAGCGGCTCAGGTTCAGGTGGCGCTGGAACTTTCCAAGGCGAAAGCAGAGGCCGCACAAGCCAAGACATTGGCTCAGGCTTCAGCTGAGGCTCTAGCCAAGGCCCAAGCCGCCCAGCCCTGCGGCTCTTGCGGGGGGATGCCTTGCATGTATCCCTCCTTGGCCTCGGCGTCCTCCGCAGCGTCTCCATTCAGACAGGACAGGCTGCAGCCAGTTCCACATTGCACTGCCCATGCCACACCGCCTGCGGTCTGCAACTGAGACTTTGCTGAGGAGCTGCATCGGGCCAGCCAGGCAGTGCAAAGGGATGGCCTCCTCTGTTTGCGATCTTCGAAGGATGTGGGGCTGCCGACGCATTTTTCTGCGAATCAGCCAGACTCCCAGCTATCGGCGAGAGGAGCAGAGATACAAGCGCCACCTACTAAAGGCGGGATCTCCAAGCGTTTCACGGCTAAGAAGTCTGGCAACAGCTAGCCGCCTCAAGGCTTTTCCCAAACTGCCTGTTTGAGCCCGCACCGCACTCTTTTTCGAAGCTGTTTGACCCTTCGAAGATCTCCAGGCTTGAATCCTGAGATGGTGGTATATGATGTTTGCTGTGGAACATCTGATGCACATGCAAATCACAAAGGCGCAAAGGCGCACGAAGGTGTTCAAGGTACCTTGTCAAGTGGCAGCTCACTGACCAGGGACGTTAGTCTGGCGCAGCCTTTACATAGCTCGCTTGACTTTCCGAATTGCGAGTGAGCCTTTTGGTATGAGGTGCGGCTCGTGACATGTGGAGCTACATAGTTTGAACACCAAGCTTGACTGGTCAAGCACTGCTGGATTTCCTTTTGAAACAC